GGATGGCATCTTTTGGTTCTGTAGACAACCACTACAGGTTTTCGCTACGTTCTCCAACTGTTGGTTGATGTTTGGCCACCACACATAGCTTCGTGATAGGGCCTTCATCTTGACGATACCCAAATGACTATCATGTAGCTCTCGCAGAATTCTCTCTTGCAACTTGCTAGGGATGACCACTCTCATTCCCCAAAGGATACAACCTTGATGAACTGTAAGTTCACTCTGTCGGTCATGGTAGGGCTTGTCTCCCTCGAAACGTGCTGACCAACCTTTAACTATTGAATCATAAACTCTGGCTAATATGGGATCACGATTTGTCTCTTTAGCTACCGATTCACTGGTGACTGGGAGAATGTTTAACTGGGTTGCATGAAACACGTCAGCTGCATCCACAGCTGTATCCTCTTTCTCCGTCATTGGCAGTGGTAGTCGTGATAGACCATCTGCATTACAGTGTTCTTTCGTATTCTTGTACTCAATGTCGTATTCGAATCCAGCTAGGAACAATGCATAGCGTTGGAGTCTTGTGGCCGTCATTATGGGTATTCCTTTTTCTGGATGGAAAATGGATGTCAGAGGTTTATGGTCAGTGACTAGTGTAAACCGTCGCCCATACAAATATATGTGAAACTTCTTGACCCCCCATACAATTGACAGTGCTTCCTTGTCAATCTGGGAGTACTTGCGCTCCGTCTTGGTGAGGGATCTGGATGCAAAAGCCACTGGTCTTTCACTTCCATCTGCCATAACATGCGACAACACTGCACCAATTCCGGTTGGTGAAGCATCACATGCGATCTTAACTGGAAGCGTTGTGTCGTAGTGGGTTAGGACTAGGTCAGAGGTTATCAAGTGCTTGGCATTTTTAAAAGCTTTCTCACATTGTTCAGTCCACTTCCACTTGTGACTTTTCTGAAGCAATACATGTAGTGGGTGAAGAACTGAAGCTGCGTTGGGGAGAAACCGATTATAGTAATTTACCAGTCCTAGGAAGGATCGAACTTGTGACACATTCTCGGGCCTAGGGGCGTTCACTACTGCCTCGATCTTCTCTTGGGTTTTGTGTAAACCATTGGCATCAATTTCATGGCCACAAAACACAACTTTCTCCTTGAAGAATTCACACTTCTCTTTGTTTGCTCTCAGACCTGCCTCTTGTAATCGCTTTAGAACTTCCTCTAACCGTTCTAAGTGCTCTTCATTGGACTTTCCGGTAATTATCATGTCGTCAAGGATGCATTGTGTTCCAGGTATACCCTGTAACACCTGGTCCATGGCACGTTGCCAAATTGCTGGGCTTGACGTCACACCGAAAACTAACCGCTGATACTGAAATAGACCCTTATGTGTGTTAATAGTCAAATACTTTCGTGTCTCTTCAGTGACCTCCATTTGGTGATAGGCTTGGCGTAAGTCTAATTTGGTAAAATGCTTACCCCCAGCCAGATTGGCAAAAATATCCTCGATACGGGGCAAAAGGTATTGTTCTGCGATTAAAACCGGGTTAACAGAGACTTTGAAATCCCCACATATTCGTACTGAGCCATTTCGTTTGACCACAGGTACAATAGGGGTTGCCCACTCACTATGTTCCACCTTGTTTAGAATCCCTTCCTTTTCAAGGCGTGTTAGCTCGGCTTCTACCTTAGGTCGCAAGGCATATGGCACCTGTCGTGCCTTACAGTATCGGGGTCGACAGTTCTCTTTTAATTTGAGGTCAGCTTGGTGTCCCTTCAAGGTGCCCAAATCATCATCGAACACACTTTTATACTTTTTCAAAAGGTTATTTACCTTACCCTGTGTCTCATTGTCTGTCGCTTGGTTTACTTTAAGGGCTTTGATCTCGCCCCAGTCTAGTTTGATTACAGAAAGCCAATCACGCCCAAATAACGCTGGCCCCGGGGACTCAATAACTTGAATATCTAGCTGTCTTGTCTGGCCATCGAGACTAACTCTACAGTTGATTTTCCCTTTTGGATACAGCTTTTCCCCTGTGTAAGTTTTAAGTGTGATTTGACTTCTCTGTAGCTTTATGTGACTAAACTTAGCTCTGTATAACTGATACGGGATAACTGAAACTGCAGAGCCTGTGTCTAGTTCCATTCTTAAGGGTGTTCCTTCAACTTTGGGGGTTACCCATATTACGTTATCTTTGTTTCCCACTTTATTTATTTCTAAACTAGCCAGGTAATCATCACTGTCACTATCATCATCATCATCAATGTGATTTACTGGGGGTTTGAAACTATGTGTTTCTTTGCTTCGTTTTCTACAAGCTCTCCGAATATGACCGCTCTTCTTACAATAATGGCAAATTGCATTTTTAAAGGGGCAGGATTTATGCTGATGATCACCATGACAACGGTAACACTTGGGGTCTGCAGGGGAAGGAGAGGCGTCCCTTCCTTTCTTGGCTTTCGCATTCCTGTTTTGCTCTTCAGGTTTATTTAACAAATTCACTGAATCTGATTCCTTATTCGTATGGTTTGAATCTCTCCCCCCTTGCATAGTTTCAACGTCCTTACATGATTGTTCAATAGCGATGCATTTAGCAACGGCTGTGTCAAAGGTCAGTTCTTCGAGCTTAAGTTTTAAGAGTTCTGACATCATTTTTCTGTCACGAATACCAGATACTAACCGATCTCTAAGTCGCTCTAAACGCATCGTTTCGTTGAACTTACATTCTGTAGCTAAATGTTTTAAAACAGCTACGTATTCACTCACCGTCTCTCCCGCGTTTCTCGCTCGATTATCAAACTCGTATCTGGCTACTAATGCTGATTTCTGGGGCTTTAACTGTTTCTGAAGTCGCTCGACTATCGCTTCGTACGTGATCGTGTCCTCTTTTAGTAGATGTGGAGCAAATAAATCCTTTGTTAACTGGTAGGTTTCTGCAGGCATATTCGTCAACAGGACAGCTTTCTTTTGTTTAGCATCAGTCACGCTATTTGCTACGAAAAAGAATTCCAGTTGTTCGGCATACGCTTCGAAGTCAGTGCCAACAACAAACTTTCGAACTTTACCGATGTTTCGAATCGGTTCTGGTGCTTCATCTGCCATCTTTCCACAGGATGGCAATAGCTGCTACGATACCTTGCTTTTTCTAACGTGGTAATATTTCTTAATCCCGTCCTCGTCGCCAAAATGTTGTGTATTTGCTTTCTATTAAATAGCTATATTATATTTCGTGTATCACTCAACAAGAAGCACTCATCCCGAACACATGGTGGATGCGCGCGCATCCTAATAACATAGGTAACCCATAACAAAAACCATGCGTTCTCTCCCATGTAGGCACACAACAACTTTCGTGCCTAGAACGCTTGTATGGCGGCTGAACAAGAGGAAAAATCGAATCAATGAATCACCCCTAAGGCACCCCTCCCCCCCAAGGGACTGGAAGAGGACAACAGTCCCGGCACAACTGCGAGAGTCGAACGCAAAGAGCTTTAGTGAGCCCTGGGAAAGTTGACCACCCCAGCCCAAAGGGATGAAAGAAAGATCCGTCAGAATGAGACAAACGGACATGCCCCCCCCGAATAAAACTCCATCCAGGAACTGGACCCCCGGATAGAGCCTCCACAAACAGAATATGCAATTCAAATTGAACTACGCAAATCATAATCAAATTTATGTCAATTAACACAAATATCCCAGTATTCCCCCATATGCCGATAGACATGACGTTAAGGCACACAATTAACCATGTCATTTGCTAGATGTAATATATAAATTGACACAACGTACGACGAACCCCACGACAAGATCACACTACTTCAAGGCAAACCGCACATGCTGACGATAAAGGTCCAACATACCGGTCACGTATAGTGTCCGTAGCCATTACTTCATTTATCTGGGCAATTACGCGCAAAATGTCCAATACGCCGACAACGAAAACACCTCAAAGGAGTTGAAAATCTAGAGCCACCCCCTCTTGGAGAAAGCGACGGTCTGACATAGGAACTCTCCGACAGCGGCGGTGGAAAACGCATTGGTTGGTGTGAAGACTTATATACCTTCACCATCAACTTAGCGACATCGTTTTCCACCGCATCTCCTAACACTTGAGTGACAAAATCCCCCAATCTGGGGTTCATGGGCAGCTTCTTACAATTAGATAGAACCGCAGCAAAACGGCGCACATCCTGATGCGCGGATCGGCGGGCCACATCATCGAGATTTTCGAGCGCCCCAATCAGGGCATACGGATCAAATACGTGGGCAGGTCGTGCGGCCAGCGGCCTGACCAACACGAGAGCCTGATCCACAGGCATCACGCCGGCAGCCTGCTGAAGCTGCACCAAATGCACCTGCAGTTGGTCAACACGGGCCGACAAGCGACGTAAAACTAAAGAAGCCAACATGCATAAGACAAAACGATCGACTACGACTGAGACAGATTGCCCAACCGCAATCACGACAAACGCCCCCAAAACGCGAGGTAAAATATGCACACACAGGCGTGATGTAGGAATAGAATCCCCGCCCACATAAATTAACCAGAATCGTACGCCAGAAGAGCGGACGAAATCAGACGTATGCCATACATGGTAAACTAGAAACTTAGGCGCCCCAGGCTGTAACAAACTGTCAGGCCACACAAACTCGATACTACACCGGGTGGAACGAGCAACGCAGGCCACAGGCTGTAAAATACCACACCGGCGTGAACTACAATCCCATGCCCAGGGCTCATGCCACAGTGCCGTAAGCGAGGTCTTATACTACACCGGCTTTATGGCACATGCTGGAACCAAAATCGCATGCCACAAAAGTTGTAAGAGGGTAGACCGGCTTGCACTAAATGCGGATATCACGCAGGCGCGATGCCCCACAGGGTGAAACGAGAGGCGTATACCCCCCGGGCTCAAAGCCGCCATACTGGAGCTAGAGTCGCGTGCCACACAGGCTTGAGTGAGACACGTATAGCACACAGGTTGGAACTAAAGTCTCCTGCCACATATGCAGGAACGGGAATGTCATGCCACACCCAACTGTACGCCACCCAGGGTTCAACCAAAATTTTTCGCCACACGGACGTGACGACAGACTGGATGCCCCCGAAGCGGGAACGACTAGAATCTCATGCCACACAGGCGTGAACTAGAATCGCATGCTATACAGGCTTGAATGAATATCGTATGTCAGGCCGGCTTGATGACAAACAGGCTCAAAGAAAACTTAGGCCACACAGGCTGGATACCCCACAGGCGTTATGCCCCCCAGACTGGAACTAAAGCGCACGCGACACAGGCCCAAGGCCACACAGACTGGAAATAAAAACCTATGCCACACAAGCTGGAAATAAATCGTATGCCACATAGGCGTTAAAAAAACACACAGGCTTGAACGAAAACCAACAGCACATATACTGTGTATGCCACACAGGCGTGATGCCCCACAAGCTTGAATGATTATCGAATGCCACACAAACGTATGCCACACAGGCTTGAACGACTAGAATCTTATGCCATATAGACAGGCGTACAAGAACGTCGGGTGTTAGGCCACGCATGATTGAACTAGGCTACCATGCCACACAGGCGTTATGCCACACAGGCTTGACCAAAACTTATGCCACACAGGCTTGAACAAAATCCTATGCCACACAGGCTTGATGCCACACAGGCTTGAACTAAATCGTACGCCACACAGGCTTTATGCCACACAGGCTTGAACTAAAATCCGATGCCACACAGGCTTGAACGAAAATCCTATGCCACACAGGCTTTTGCCACACAGGCTTTAACTAAAATTTTACGCCACACAGGCTGGATGCCATACAGGCTGGAACAAAATCTTATGCCACACAGGCTTGAACTAAATCCTATGCCACTCAGGCTTGAACGAAAATCCTATGCCACACAGGCTTTGTATCGAACGGGTCAGGTTTATATTAACATTATAAATGATAGTAATGACGTAGAGACAACGCGCCAATCAGAAGCTAGTGTGGCACGCCCACAACCTGCCTTCTTGTTTGAGTTCACGCCTCCAGACATGGCGAAAATATAACAAAGCTAGCGCCAGTGCCGAACCGGCCGTTTTATTGTGATATGTGTTTAAATGTTATTAAATATATAGTAAAATTGAACGTTGTTTACATGGCGCCCAACGTGGGGCGCTAGCTTTGACGAAAGATCGAATTAAAATCGAAAATATCGGAGTTGCTTACGCGAGAATATGAGCGAGCCGAACAAAGATTTGAAAAGGATACGAGCTATTCGCTCGGGAAATCGGGGAGTTGTTACGAGATACAGCAACGAAGCGATCGAGCTGTTAGATCAGGGGAGTGAAACGAGTAAGGATCGACTACGAACAATAGCGAATTTGTTAAACGAGAAAATAATACGACTTAAAGAGCTCGATGCTCAAGTGCTAGAGTTATGCGAAATCGACGATATCGAACGAGAAATCGAAGAAACGGAAGAAATGTTTTCGAGAGCAAGCGACGTAAGTAGTAGAATCGAGAAATTTACGAGTGCGACGGGCAAGGTAATCGATAAACCTGGGCCAACGACTTCTAAAACAAGCGAAATAAACACTGATGTTGTTTCCAACGAGGGGACAAGTCAATCGAACGACGAGCAACTACAAGTGGAAGCATCGAACAGTCATGAATCGAACCAAGTGGAAACATCGAACAGTCATGAATCGAACCAAGTGGAAACATCGAACAGTCATGAATCGAACCAAGTGGAAACATCGAACAATCATGAATCGAACCAAGTGGAAGCATCATCAAATACCATCAACGCATCAACGGTACAATTTGTGTTACAACCCAGAACGACAGTGCACTACGCACCTGCAATTAAGCTACCCAAGTTGGTACTACCGAAATTCAAAGGAGATATTACAAACTATCGAACTTTTTGGGAAAGTTTCCATAGCGCTGTACACCGAAATTCGTATTTAACAAACATTGACAAGTTTAACTATCTTTTGTCATTATTAGAGGGAAATGCGCTTCGAGCAATAAAGGGACTGGCAGTTACAGCGGATAACTACCAATCGGCTATTGATATATTACAGGAGAGATTCGGGAAATCGCAACAAATCATAGCAGCCCATATGGACGAACTTTTGAAGTTAGCTCCATGTGTTGGGGAGAAATCATCGCAATTGCGGGTTGTATATGACAAAGTAAGTGTCAACGTTAGAGGATTAGAAGCTCTTGGTGTGAAACCGGATCAGTACGGGAGTTTACTAATTCCAGTTATTATGTCCAAGATACCTGGGGACGTTCGACTTGAAATCGCTAGAAAATCGGATAAAGAGGTATGGGAGATAAAGAAGTTATTAGAGATAATACGAAAGGAAGTGGAAGCTCGTGAATTAAGTGATCATGTAAGGGCCGACAGCGAGAAGAAGGTAAAACCACCACCTCGTTTTCCATCTACGACTACCTCGCTAGCAGCTCAAGGGAGGGATAGTAAACCGTATGGTGCGATCAGATGTGCCTACTGTGGGAATCTGCATTATTCAGCTTCGTGTGAATCGAAAGTGAAACCCAGTGAGCGAAAGGAAATTTTGAGACGAGACAATCGTTGTTTCGTGTGCTTACAAGTCGGTCACCGGGCCAACCAATGTCATCCGTCGAAAAGGTGTCGTCGATGCGAAGGGCGACATCACCAATCAATTTGCGAAAAGGTTGTGGCAAAATTCCCAAACGCCGGTGGAAAAGATAAGGATTATAAGGACGGTGATTCAAAATCGACAACTAAAGAAGAGCAGCCCGAAACAAGTGCAAGCAAAGGCGCAACCATTACTGCATGTCAAAATGCGACAACTGCAGCAACTCGATCGAAATGTAAAGTTTTCTTGCAAACTGCGACCGCGTATGCTTACTCGAAAGTGGAAGATGCTTTAATTCCTGTACGTGTCTTGATGGATAGCGGAAGCCAGCGATCGTATGTGACAGAGTCGTTGAAGGAAAAGCTAGGTCTTAGCTCGGAAAAAACTGAAGTTTTGAACTTGAATACATTCGGAGATGATAGATTTGTTAAACAACGATGCGATCGAGTTCGTGTAGAATTGCAAGGGAAATCGAAAGACATTGAAATCGCAGCACTCTGTTATCCTAAGATTTGCTCGCCCCTTTTGACAACGCTTGACCTTGACCGACATACACACCTGCAAGGGTTGGATCTGGGTGATGAAAGTCTGCTTAACGACAGTGATTCGGCACAGAATATCGACATCTTAATTGGTTCCGACTACTATTTCGACATAATTACGGGTGAGATACAACGGGGAGACGGGGGCCCTGTGGCAGTTAATAGCGAATTCGGATGGATGGTCTCCGGCAGTGGTTATGCAAAGACACCTGGAAAGAATGCAACTATCACGCAACTCATTGTTCAGAAAACGGATTCTGCGCTGATGTTCGATCCAGTGGAAAGTGTTGGAGGCGAAGGTTTGATCCGCGCGTTCAAAGGTTTTGGGACACAGAATCGCTTGGCATCTTCGAGCCAAACCCGTTGCTGGAGAAGGAGTTTTTGAAAGATTCAAATTTCGACAAGAACCAGGGTCGATATCAAGTGAGCCTTCCCTGGAAGGATGATCGTATGGCCACAACAAATGGATATTTTCCATGTTTGAAACGTCAACGACAACTGCATTCACGCTTGAGAACTGATCAAGAGCTGCTTGAACAGTACGATGAAGTCATACAAGAGCAAATAAAGTCAGGTATAATCGAGAAAGTCCCTGGATGTTCGGCAAGCGATGAAGCAACGCATTTTCTACCTCATCACGGCGTGATACGAGAAGATAAGGCGACTACGAAGGTTCGAGTAGTTTTCGACGGGTCAGCGAATCACGGTTCATCGAATTTGTCCCTCAACGACTGCCTGGAAAAGGGACCGAACTTAGTTCCCCACCTATTTGACGTCGTTGTAAAGTTCAGGGGTTACCCTGTAGGAATCGTGGCCGATGTGGAAAAGGCGTTCCACCAGATTGGGATAAATCCAGATGACCGGCGAATGTCGCGCTTCTTGTGGTTCGACGATATACGCAAGGAACATCCAGACATTGTTGAATATCAGTTTTGTCGCCTAGTATTTGGGTTGACCCCA